ATGTGCCTTGAATAGAAGCTGTATCTTATTAACACTTTTTATTTCTTACAGTGTTGCTCAATCATTGTCTTATACTTACTGTGTGTTGAATGAATGGATGGATTTGTCCTTCTCTTCCTTGATGTGGAGGAAGGCCAAATATTTGTTAGGAAAGATTGTTATCATAAAAGTTGGAAATGCATGATTTTTTCTTTTTCTTTTCTTTTCTTTTTTTTTTTTTTTTGTACTGGGGATTGACCACTGAGCCACATCCCCAACCCTTTTTATGTTTTATTTTGAGACAGGGTCTTGGCTGAATTGCTTAGGTCCTTGGTAAGTTGCTGAGACTGGCCTCAAACTTGCGATCCTTCAACCTCAGTTTCTGGAGTCTCTGGGATTACAGGCAGGCACCACTACACCTGTCAGTAATTTTATCATTGGTTAAAATATGAATTGTATTATTTGTATGTACTGAATTATACTAACCCTTAGTTTGAGTTTAGGTGTAAGAATAACTGCTGGTTTGGTGGTTCATGCCTGTAATCCCAGCTACATGGGAGGCTTAGGCAGGAGGATCAACAGCAAGACCTCTCAAAAGTAAAAATAAAAACCGTAAGGGATGGAGTTCAGTGTTAAAAATGCCCCTGGATTCAATCCCCAATGTGTGTGGGGGGAGAGGGGGGTAAATAACAATACATTATTATAAATGGAATGCATTTGTGTATTATTAAACTTTGATGATGTTATAATTTCATTCTTGAAATTAGGATGATCATTAGTACATTATTATTGGATTAATACCAAGAAGAGCCCAGAAATTTGATGACTATACAATAGAGATATTCATATTTAGCTTGTCCTAAAGTATCTACAAGATGATATAAAATTATTTAATACTGCTATTGAATTGTGAGTAAAATAGTTAACTTTGAAAACAGCTTATTTAGAAATCCTTTTTGGATATGGAAGTAGACTAATCATTAGGCATTTATTTTATTTGTACAAATACAGTATATTAAAGACCAGATACAATAAATGTATTTTAGGTGTTAATGATCTTGTATTGATTCTAGGTGGGCTTCTATCAACATATATACTTAGATTCTTGTCAGAAAGGCTTTGTTCCTTCCTTCCCCAGCATTTTACATTACAGCAGCTTTAGCAGATGATAATTATTTTTCTTTAATCACAGGGGAAATTTTTAGCCCTATATTTATTTTTCATACCATTTTATTATAATCAAATTGAAAAGCTTTTGGACAATTGAAAATAACTTGCCCTTCATATTTGAAGTATTGTTGTTTTATGTCCACCAAACCAGGTCTGTTTTTGTCCAAGAGAGATATGGAAGGAAGGGACTTGGGAGGTAAAAGTATGTGATACATTTCATCCTTCTCCTGCATTCAACTTCTTAATGTTCTGATCCTCTGTGGTCTTTGATTCTGTTTCTTGGACTGCATTCTAGAATGTTTGAGTTCCTGAGGAATATTTCTCTGTGTGTGTGTGTGTGTGTGTGTGTGTGTGTGTGTGTGTGTGTGTGTGTTAGCAGAGTGTATTATATGTATTTCATCCTATTGTTCTCTGGAGTAAAGAGGTGTTCTTTTCTACTATTATCTTAGTTCACTTCAGACCTATTTGAGTATTCTGCTTATTTTATTTTTCTGAAACAAATGTTTGTGTTTTGCCCAGAGGCATAGCTGTGTGAATGTCTGTAGCCACTGGTTCTCTTTCATCACTTGTGATTTAGAATTAACCAAGCTTACAGTGTAGCTGAAGCCAGCCTAAAAGATTTTTTGGAGAGCAAGTTATTTTGAGTTGCCTGAAATCATAATTTAATTATGATAAAGTGTTAAAGAAAATTAGTATGTGTCTAAAACCTTTTATCATTTGTGATCAGAAGACAACTGTTCTGTAATAAGCCATAATGTAAACTGTTGAAGAAGGAGCAAAGCCTGCCTGACAAGAATTCAGGGTATGTTGGTTGACTGGAGCCACCAAGTGGTCTTGGGGATAAACTCCTTCTGCTATCTAAACCTTTGAGAGAGTGATTTGCTTGAGACAAGAAAGACATCTTACTGAGTTGTGGACACACTGAAATAAAGCATTCAGTTTTCTCAGTGAAAATAGCATTGGTGACAAAGATCTTTTGCTACTCATAAATTGTGCCGTAAGTTACTTATTGAATCAAACATGTGCTCATTATTATGTACTTGCCAGTTGTGGCTGAGGTAAGAACAGAATTTGGTTGTCAGGTATCTGTAAAGGAGCTACAGAAGGGTTTTCCAAAACAGTAATGTTTCTTTAAACTCAATAAGAAAACAAGTCTAAATAATGTTCAGCATCATGTCCCTAGCATCTGGGAAGAGTATTTGGCCCAAAGGAGACACACCTTGTTAAGGGAATGAACAGGTTAATGAATAAAAAAAGGAGTGTAGGAGCAAGTACCTGTTTTCCTGTCTCATCTCTTGAAAAAAAATCACTGTAAAATAAATGTTTATAAAACCTTTAATCCATTGAAATTCTTTAAAGCCTTACAAAGTTAAAAGGATCTCTGCATCAAGGTTGCTTGTATGGCAGGAGAGCCTATCATCCTATTTAAACATGGCTTTTAACAATTAAGTATGTAGAGACTGGGTGTGTAGCTCAGTGATAGATTCCATGCATTACTGAGGCTCTAGGTTTGATCCCCAGCACACCCCACCCCAAAATTTAGTGTTTGGTAGGTCTAAGTCTTTCATTCATGAGAAAATTTTTATAGTACCTTGCTTTTCTGTACACCTATGTCATCTTTTAGTCTTTGTTAAACAGTCTACCGCTTTTCTGATTTTTTTCTACTCTTGACCATATGTAGGAAAAACAAAATCTGATAGATGTACCTAGACAGATTATCTTACAGTATCGAACAGTAGTCCAGGGTATTTTTTTTAATATATCTTTTAGTTGAGATATTTATTTATTTATATATTTTTTTAGGTACTGGGGGTTGAACTCAGGGGCACTCAACCACTGAGCCACATCCCTGGCCCTATTTTGTACTTTAAATTGTTTAGAGACAGGATCTCACTGAGTTACTTAGCACCTCACCATTGCTGAGGCTGGCTTTGAACTCGAGATCCTCCTGCCTCAGCCTTCCAAGCTGCTGGGATTACAGGAGTGTGCCACCACACCTGGCTTATTTTTATTTTTTTATTTCTATGTCGTGCTGAGAATTGAACCCAGTGCCTCACACATGCTAGGCAAGTGCTCTTCCATTGATCCACACCCCAGCCCTTGGGGAATTTTAAGTACATAAATATGTACTTAAATGAAATAAATATGTTATGAAATAATATGTTTATGAAATAAATATGTTAATATTGGCAGTAACTAATCCAGAATAAAGGCACATAAATAAAGATTACAGAGTATAACTAGTATAGAGTTGTGGTTTGAGCTACTATTGTTGTCTGTGATTTATATCTGACTTTTAAAATGATCCATAATATCCTTCTCCGGGTCCTACATACATAATGTAAGAGCACTATGTTCTTGTACATTTCTTGTGATAGGATAGAAACAATCAAGAACGCTTTAAATTGTTGAGCAACCCTAAAGCCTTTTTGTTGTTGTTTCCTTTTTTTTTTTGCATTATTTTTTTAATTTGTTTTAATCAGTTACACATGACAGTACAATGACCTTGACATATCATACATTTGAATCAGATGGGTTATGATTTCTCATTTTTCTGAGTGTACAGGTTGCAGAATAACCCTAAAGTCTTCATAAACCAGCCTGGTAGTGGCTTAAGTTTAGGTGGTCTGATACTTTTTATAGTTATCTTAACTTGAAATAATCTGTTGTAAAAATTATACAATGAAAAATTAATGAATTATTTAGGATATACTACCAAAAAAGAAAGATCTTAAAGCAACTTTTCAAATTTAAAAATATTTAAAGTATTGTAATTATCTTTACAAAAACTTGTGTGGAAAAATTGTGTAATATTTCCTTTCTGTTGAGAAATATTTGAAAATGTAGCCAGGTATGGTGGTACACACCTATAATCCTAGCAACTCGAGAGGCTGGGGCTGGAGGATCTCAAGTTCCAGGCTAGAGCCTCAGCCACTTTTTGAGACCCTGTCACAAAAAAAATAGAAAAAGTCTGGGGGCATTGACACATGCCTGTAATCCCAGTGGCTCAGGAGGTTGAGGCAGGAGGATCTTGAATTCAAGCCAGCCTTAGCAAAAGCAAGGTACTAAGCAACACAGTGAGATCCTGTCTCTAAATAAAATACAAAATAGGGCTGGGGATGTGGCTCAGTGGTCAAGTGCCCCCGAGTTCAATTCCTGGTTCCAAAAATAAAATAAAATTTTAAAAAAAGGACTGGGGTTTAAAGCTCAGTGTTTAAACCACCCAGAACCCCTGAGTTTAACACCCAGTACTGGGCGGCAGTAGGGGTGGGGAGGGTTTGGTGTTATCTTAAATGAACATGAATATAAACTAAGTGCTTTTTTTTTTTTTTGAACTGGGGGTTGAACCCAGGAGGAGGCCTTAACCACTGAGGTATATCCAGCCCTTTTTATTTTTTATTTTGAAACAGGGTCTTGTTAAGTTGCTTAGGACCTCACTAAGTTGCTGAGGCTATTTTCAAACTTGCAATCTTCTGGCTCAACCTTCTGGGATTATAGAATTGTGCCACCATACCTAGCACCAAGTGTTGATTTTTTGTTTTATTTTCTGGTGCTGGGGATTGAACCCTGGGTACTTTATCACCTTAATCTTCTAGATGAAAACTATTGATTTGAGTTAAATTTTGAAAACTATTGATTTGAGTTAAATTTTGTGTGTGTTTAAATGGTAACTTAATATGATAGCTTACATATTTAAAATAATGTCTCAACATTGTTATATGTTCAAGTAATACAAGCTTCTGCTTGTAATGTTTTCTCTCTGGAGAGTCGAGTAACCATATCATATGGTTGGTATCATAGGAACCTGGTAAAAGAGGAAGTAAAATAGTTCATTTCTTTTTGCCTTTTAGATGCCAGAATTCCAGAAAAGTTCAGTTCGTATCAAGAACCCTACAAGAGTAGAAGAAACTCTCTGTGGTCTTATCAAAGGAGGAGCTGCCAAACTTCAGGTAGACTAATTATGCAGATGTCTTTATTGTTTAAATATTTTATTATTAATATTCAAACAGTGTCATTCATCTTCTTCCTATTTTGGTAACATCTGAGTAAAACAAGTTTAAGTGGACATTTTTGGCCTGTTTCTTGGAATGTGAAATCTAAGACATCTAGAATTGTCTAAAACAGAATACTCAAATGGAAACACAAATTAATAGCCTTAATATAAACATTTTCTTTTATTATTTTTCATTTGTTTATTTGTGCTGAACATTGAACCCTAGGCATTGTGCATGCTAATAGTGCCTTCTACCACTGTCCCTACACCCACTGCCCCCAAACTTTAGGATTTTTTCAGTATTAAGTATTAAGCAAGTTAACAGCTGGTTGCAGTAGTGCACACCTATAATCCCAGTTACTTGAGAGACTGAGGGAGAGTGAAGCAGGAAAATTGGCAAGTTTGAGGCCAGCCTCAGCAACTTTTTTTTTTTTTTTTTTAAATTTAGTGAGGCCCTCTCTCAAAAGGAATGGGGATGTAGCTCAATGATTGAGCACCCCTGGTTTCAGTCCCCAGTACCAAAAAAAGAAATTATGTATTGTTTTAACTCCTATATCAGAGAGTCAAGTAACCATATCACATACAATTTATAACTTTCTATACTAATTGTTTTTGTTTGGTTGGTTGTTGTTTGGTACAAGGGATTGAACCCAGGGGCACTCTACCACTAAGCCACATCACGAGCCCTTTTTAGCTTTTATTTTGAGACAGGGTCTTACTAAATTAATCCAGGCTGGCCTTGAATTTGCAGTCCTTGTGCTTTAACCTCCCAAATCCTTGAAGTAACACCATGCCTGGCTGATTAATCAGATTTTATTTGGTGATAAAATAGGGCACTTAAGATATCACCTTGTATTTAAAGTCATTTTCAGGATGTTGTATGTGAAAAGCATTAGAAAACTTAATGTCAAAATAGTAACCTAAGCATGGTCCCGTGCCTCTAAGAAGGTATGTATTTGGATAGCAATAAAGAAATCCTGGTCATGGTGACTGTGCTTACATAATGCTTTTCTCCTATTTCTTACAGATAATAACAGACTTTGATATGACACTAAGTAGATTTTCCTACAAAGGGAAAAGATGCCCAACTTCTCATAGTAAGTATGGTGCTCTTTTTTTTATGGTACTGGGGACCACTGAGCCACACTCCAGCCCTGTTTTGTATTTTATTTAGAGACAGGGTCTCACTGAGTTGTTTAGCGCCTCGCCTTTGGTGAGGCTGGCTTTGAATTCCCAATCCTCCTGAATCAACCTCCCAAGTCACTGGGATTACAGGAATGCACCACTGCAACCGGCAAGTGTGATACTCTTAAACAAATTTATAAAACTAATCACAGATATCCTTTTTATCTATATTACTTGTGAGATGACTGGAAGTTCCTTTTGGATATGGAAATCAGGGGAACCTGCTTTTCCTTAACTGTATTTTTTTTTAATATTTTTTTTTAGTTGTAGTTGGACACAGTATCTTTATTTTATTTTTATGTGGTGCTGAGGATCTAACCCAGGGCCTCGCACGGGCTAGGCAAGTGTTCTACTGCTGAGCCACAATCCCAGCCCTTTTAACTGTATTTTGAGGATTTGGGTTTTCCCCCCTTATTATATAAATAGTTCTTTTTATGTGTGGTTTTGATAGCAGAGGATATAGAAACTTAATATATCTCACCATCTGTAGTCTATTAATTATTCAAAAAAATTTTAAATGGATTTTAAACTCTGACTCAACCTAAAGAAATAGTGTTTAACACATACTGTGGCTTGGGGTGGAGCTTAATGGTAGAGATCTTGTAATACCTTCCTTGAGACAGCACTGCCCCTCCCCCCAAAAAAAGTGGTTGAAGGAAGGCTGTTAATAGGATTTTTTTTTTTTTTTTTTGTCAGTAATTCCTCTTTGGAGAAATTTTTGTTTTGTTTTGTCTTTATTTTTATTTATTTAATTTATTTGTTTATTTTTGTGGTACTGGAGATTAAGCCCAGGGGAACTTTACCACTGAGCTACATCCCCCACTTCTTTTATTTTTCATTTTGAGACAGGGCCTCACTAAGTTGCTGAGAGTCTTGCTAAATTGCTGAGGCTGGCCTCGAAGTTGCCGTTTTCCTGCCTCAGTCTCCCAAATTGCTGGGATTAAAGGCAAGTGACACTGCACCCGGCTTGTTTCTTCTCTTTAGTTAAAATGGAAGATGAAAATGGGAACAGTCACTACACAATTCAGTGTTTGAAGAGCTTGAATTGTTTGGCTCAGGGGTTATGTGAGGAACCACTAAGTCTCAGATTTTGAAACTGTTTTAGTTTTGGTTTTGTTTTGCAGAGTAGTTCTAGGGATTGAACCTAGGGCCTTGGGCATGCATGCAAGGCGAGCACTCTGCTACTGAGCTATATCCCTAACTCTTAACTTGCTTCTGTTTCTTTCCTTTTTTTCTTTCTTCCTGTCTCTCTCCATCCTTTGCTTTGCATTTTTTCCATATTTTTTATTGGCACATTATAATTATACATAATGGGGGCTGGGGTTGTGGCTCAGTGGTAGAGCACTTGCCTAGCACATGTGAGGCACTGGGTTCAATCTTCAGCACCACATAAAAATAAATAAATAAATAAATACAGGTGTTGTGTCTCTATTTTAAAAAGATTATATGTGGGCTGGGGTTGTGGCTCAGTGGCAGAGCACTTGCTTCACATATGTGAGGCACTGGGTTCAATCCTCAGTACCACATATAAATAAATAATAATAAAGATACATCAACAACTAAAAAATATTTTTAGAAAAAGATTATATGTAATGATTTTTTGGTTACACATTGGTACATGCACACAATATAAAATTGAATTAAACCAATATCATTCCCTGATATGTCACCTCTTCCTGTCCTTTCCTCTATTGGTTTCCCTTCAGTTTTCATGAGAACACCACACACACCATTTTTCCTCTGTAGCCTCCACATATGAGAGAAAACATGACCGTTGGCTTTCTGAGTTTGTCCTATTTTGTTTAACAAAATATTTTTATTTTTATTTTTATTTATTTATTTTTTTTTAATTCTCAGCGGACACAACATCTTTGTTTGTATGTGGTGCTGAGGATCGAACCCCGGCCGCACGCATGCCAGGCAAGCATGCTACCACTTAAGCCACATCCCCAGCCCCAAAATATATTTAGATTCCATCCATTTTTCTGCAAATGACACAATTTCATTTCTCTTTGTGGCTAAATAAAACACTACTGTATATATATATACCACATTTTCTTGATTCGTTCATCAATTGATGGACATTTAGGCTTGGTTCTATAGTTTAGCTATTATAAATTGTGCTGCTATAACCTGGGCATGCATGTTTCAATATAGTATGCTGATATTTATCCTTTGGATAAATTCCAAGGAGTGGTATATCTGGATCCTATGGTAGTTCTATTCCTAATCTTTGAGAAACCTCCATACTGATTTTCAGAGTGGTTATACTAATCTACAATCCCACTGACAGTGTTAAGAGTGTTCCTTTTCCCCCACATCCTCTGTAGCATTTATTTTTTTTTATTTTTTTATTTTTTTTTTTTTGAGAGAGAGAGAGAGAATTTTAATATTTATTTTTTTAGCTCTCGGTGGACACAACGTTTTTGTTTGTGGTGCTGAGGATCGAACCCGGGCCGCACACGTGGCAGGCGAGCGTGCTACCGCTTGAGCCACATCCCCAGCCCTGTAGCATTTATTATTAATGTTTATTTTGTTTTTGTTCTTTTGTTTGTACCAGGGATTGAACCCAGGGATATTTTGCCACTGAGCCATATCCTCAGTCCTTTTTATTTTGTTAACTTGTTAATAACAAGTTACAGTTGGGATTAAAGATATATGCCACCACAACCAGTTACTGTTTATATTCTTGATGACTGCAGTTCTGACTGGAGTAAGATGAAATATCAGTATAGGTTTTTGATTTCTCTAATTGCTAAAGATGTTGGACTTTTTTATATTATATTTGCTATTTATATTTCTTCTTTTTTAGGGGGGCCACTGGGGATTGAGCTCAGGGGCATTCGACCACTGAGCCACATCCCCAGCCCTATTTTGAATTTTATTTAGAGACAGAGTCTCAATGAATTGCTTAATGCCTTGCTTTTGCTGAAGCTGTCTTTGAATTCTCGATCCTCCTGCCTTAGACTTCCAAGACACTGGGGTTATAGCCGTGTACCACCATACCCATGTTGGGCAGAAGCTTTTTAATTTGATGCCAGGCCATTTCCACTTCTTGATAGAAATTCACTTCTTTTCTTTAACTAATGTGAATTATAGCACTGAGACCAAAATTTGTAATAACCATCCTGGTTGACTTGTGCTTTAAAAGACATTATTCACAGTACTGGTAACATCTGAATATTTTCTTTTAATGCCTGTTTTGTTTTCTGTCTTCAGATATCATTGACAACTGTAAGCTGGTTACAGATGAATGTCGAAAAAAGGTAAACTCTACTAGTAATCCACCATAAATACACTCCGGATGAGAATTTCATTAGGTTCATTCACACAAATAAGAATGGATGCAAAGTTCTTATGATCATACCTGGCTCATAATAATTATTCAGTACATGCTTTTTTATTGTATGAATATTGTCAACATATTTTAAAGGAAAAACTAATATTAACTTTTAAACAACAAAACTTAGATGTAATGGTGGCATATACCTCTAATCCTAGCAATTTGAGAGGCTAAAATGTAGGAGGATGACAGTTTTGAGCCAGCCTCTACAATTTAGCAAGACCTGTGACAGAGTAAAAAGGGTCGGGATGTAGCTCAGTGGTAGAGCCCCTGTATCAGAAAAAAGCAAAGATTTAAAACTTAGATTTAAAACTTCTAAATGATTACTAAAATATTCTACTATTCCTCTATTAACTGGAAAATTAAAAATACTTCTATTTGTTCATAGTTTTTCCTCCCTTAAAGTAGTAAAGAAATTTCTTCAGTACGTTGAGTATCTACCTCTGTATATCTTAATAAAATAAGATGACTTAAATTTGTGAATATGAGAACTTGTTTTGTAATGCTACTCTGATTAGTTAGTAGTTGATTTGCCGAATTGCTGACATAAAAGAGGTACCTTTTTGCAGATGTGTTTAATTATATCTACAAAATTAGCTTCTATTAAGTGTCAGCCCAGTTTCATCTTTTATTGTAAAGCAGTTTACAGACACTTGTTCATGTTGTCTTGCTTTCAGTAAAACAAAATGGATTAGTGACAAAACACTGTGGTTATGATGATTAAGTTATTTTATTTTTTAGTTATTGCAACTAAAGGAACAGTATTATGCTATAGAAGTTAATCCTGGTCTTACCGTGGAAGAAAAGTACCCTCATATGGTAGAATGGTAAGTGTGTATGGAATGGTGGGAACCTGAAAGCCTAACAAAGCAGTGTTACAGTTAAAACTGATGGTTTTTTCTGCCCTGTCTATACTGTGTACAAGTACATTCTTCAGTCATGTTAAAGCAGTGAATTGAATTAAACATAAAATAAATTTTTATTTTCTAATCACTCTAGGGTTTGCTTTTTAAGTTCAGTAGAACTAAATTTAAAATTCTGCACTCAAAACCAAGAATTTTTTTTTCCTTACAGTAAATGGACACGCCAAGTGCAGTGGTATACAACTGTAATACGGGACTCAGGAGGCTTAGGCAATAGGGTTACAGGTTTGAGGCCAACCTGGGCATGTTAGCAAGACCAGAACCTTTAAGAAAGTTCCTTCTCGCCAAGCACAGTTGGGCACACCTGTAATCTCAGTGGTTTGGGAGGCTGAGGCAGGAAGATCACCAGTTCAAAGCAAGCCTCAGCAACTTAGTGAGACCCTGTCTCTAAATAAAAATATTAAAAGTGCTAGGGATGTGGCTCAGTGGTTAAGATCCCCCTGGGTTCAGTCCCTAGTGCACAAAAAAGAAAGTTCTTTCTCAAATCAAGGCACTTTCTACTTCTTAAAATCCTGAGATCAGGAATATTTGTCTTCATTATCCCATTACCTAACAGGGTACCTTGCACACATCACCTGTATACCTGTATTTGTGGTACTGAATCTTTTTTTTTGTTTGTTTGTTTGTACCAGGGATTGAACTGAGCCACATCCCCAGCCCTATTTTTATTTTATTTAGAGTCTGGTCTCACTGAGTTGCTTAGTGCCTCGCTTTTGCTGAGGCTGGCTTTGAACTCATGATCTTCCTATCTCAGCCTCCCAAGCCACTGGGATTACAGGAGTGGGCTACCATACCCGGTGGTATTGAACCTTGAAAATAGACTTTACCTGCATGTAGAAGCAGAGTTAGAATTAGATTTCTGCATGATAGAAGAAAGGACCATCCTTCTGGGCACAGTGGTATATACCTGTCTGTAATCCCAGCAACTCAGGAGACTGAGACATCAGGATCACAATTTCAAGGCCAGCCCCAGCAACTTAGCAAGACCCTAAAACAACCTGTAACCTGGCTCAAAATAAAAAGGGCTGAGGTTGTAGCCCAGTGCTGAAGCTCCCTGAGCTAAATCCTCAGTATCAAAAATAAAAAGAAAGGACATCTAGCAAGTAGAATTATTTGGCAGTGGCAATGGAATAAGGTTCCCTTAGAGAATGAGTACACTGTCTAATGGAAGCTAATACTGGCAGAGAGGAGTGTCATTTAGGAATAATGTAGGCAATTATTTAGATCTCCAGTGAAAAGTTAGGTTCTTTGTTAGTGAGTGGGCTGTTTGGACAGTTGTAAAGGTGAGAGTTAGATTCTAAAGCCTGGTTACACTGAGATGCTGTGTTTAGGTGTTATTACATTCATATAAAAAATAAGTGAGGTTGTATATACTTTCCATAGTTTTTTTCCTTGCTCACTAGGTAGCTTCTTCAATACTTTTTGACATTTCTTGAAAATTTAAACTACAAGAGATGAGAAAAGTGACTTTGCTTTTACCGATCACACAGTCACACAAATGACTATGCCATCCTAGGTTTGGATGAGGTGTTTTTTGTTTGTTTGTTTGTTAACAAAAACAAGTAGGGAGCAATGACTTGCCTACAGTCCCAGCTACTTGAGAGGCTGAGGCAGGAAGATCATAAGTTTGAGGACAGTCTGGATAACTTAGTGAAACCCTGTCTCAAATTAAGAACAAAGCGAGCAGGCAGAGGTTGGGATATAGCTCAGTGGTAGAGCACCCCCGGATCAATCTCCAGTTCTGCAAAACAAAAAGCAAAAATGAATCTTTATTGTCTAGAAATATATATTTTAAAAATCTCCTGTGAAAGGTGCAGTTATTTCCCTAGATATGAAGGACATATTAAACCTTATGAACACTTCATCCAGATGTCAAGACAATGCTCCATCTATGTATTGTTCTGTATTTGCACATTCATGTAGTCATCTACAGATACCAGGTAGCCCTTATCCATTCCCTACTTATATTCACTATCATTGGCTTTCCATTAATCTATTGAGAAAAGGTTTGGGGTTGACAGATAAACTCATCGTGAGTACCCGTGAGTGCTGCAGGCTCACTGGTGACCCAGCTATTGCCTTTCCCTTGGGACTGGAGCATCAGGGCTCAAACCACTGAGGATCAAGAGAAATCTGGTTTGGGGTTGGGGCTGTAGCTCAGTGGTAGAGCATTTGCCTAGCATGTGTGAGACACTGGGTTCAACCTCAGCATCACATAAAAATAAATAAATAAAGGTCCATCTACGATTAAAAATAGAGAAATCTGGACTGAGATCTTATCTGTAGACTGAGGAAAGACTCACAGCCCTTTTCTTTCATTATCTTATTAACATATTTAAGTTCTGAGTTCTAGAGATCTGGAAAATGTGCAACAAATATACACATCACATTTTGAGGCACACTAGGTTATAATTCATTAATGGTGAATTTTTATATCTCAGATTGAAATCCAAATATGTGGCCAAAAGAATTTTTCTTATACTGAAGCATGTTTTGTAATAAAAATAATTGTTTTAATGTATACTTTTGTTTCTTTTGTCACAACTCCAGGTATAGTAAGTCTCATAGTTTGATTGTTGAACAAGGTATACCAAAAGCTAAAATTAAAGAGATTGTGGAAGAATCTGACGTTATGCTCAAGTAAGTTTCTGAATGTTTGTTATTGTCTGCAGAATTGAATTTTTTTATTTTTAATTGCTTATTTTTATTAAAATAAGATATGACACTACTCCATGGAAAAATACCCTAAATATACTACTTGTCCAAAATGGATAGTGTATGATAAGAAATCTAGAATGACAAGTTAGATTTGATGTGGGTAATAAATCACATTTAAATACTAATATTTTTGTCCAGATTAAACCCCTAATATTTGTTGTGTTTCAAAAGATTTGCTTATTCTATTTCTCCTAAATGAAATCATACCATGTATTCTTTTTCCTTTTAAACTTTTTTTGGTTGTAGATGAACACAATACCTTTATTTTATTTTTATTTATTTTTTTAATGTGGTACTGAGGATTGAACCCAGTGCTTTTTAATGGTATAAATTGTGAATGGTAGGCTTATATCTATATTCAATATGAGTCTATTTGAACTATTAGAACAGTCATTCTCCTTCCTCTACTCTGTTGATTTTTCTTTTATTTCATTTATTTATTTTTGGTTGGCTCTTTATATGTGGTGCTGAGAACCGAACCCAGTGCCTCATACATGCTAGGCAAGCGCTCTACCACTGAGTCACAACCCCAGCCCCTTGATTGGTTCTTTCTACTTAAACATAAAGGTGAAATTCCCCATGGAATATTTATATATACACATAATGTGATTTTGTTAAAATTTATTCTACATTTCCTCCCCTTTCTCATCCCTCTTCTTTCCCTTTTGATAAAAAAGGTATGGAATGCGTCATGAATTTGCATGTCATCTTTGCACAAGGGTTATGCTAATCTTTTTTGTATTGCTCCACTTTTAGTATATGTGCTGCCATAGTGAGCACCCTTTTAAAATTTGTTATATTCTGAGATAGGTTCTCACTGCCTTGCCCATGCTGACACTGAACTTGCAATCCTCCTGCCCCCACCTCCTGAATCCCAGGGATTAAAAACACATACCACTATGTCTAGCTTTAAGCTGATTTTCCATATCTTTTACCACCTTTTACAATTTTAATTAGTGAGACAAATACAATGCTGCTCCTTTTTATTCTTTGTGGTGCTGGGAATTGAACCCAGCACCTTGCGCACACTAGACAACTGCTATTATTGCTGACCAGGCAGTGCCACCCAGCATCTAGTGCCATTTTTAGAACATACAGCTTCCATGGCTGAGGGTGTAGCTCAGTGGTAGAGCCCTTTGTAGAATGTATGTCCCCCAGTCCCTCACTGTACACACTGCATGTCTCTGCCTATTTTGAACTAGTAGAATTGATTAAAAGAGCCGGACTTGGCAGCACAAGCTGGTAAAACCAGCAATTTGAGAGGCTGAGGCAAGAGAATTATAAGGCCAGCTTCAGCAACTTGGTGAGGACTTGAGGAATTTAGTGAGATCCTGTCTCAAAAAATTTTTTTTAAAAAGAGCTGGGGATGTGGCCCATTGGTAAAGTGCCTCTCCAAAAAAAAAAAAAAAAAGAATAGATTTAAAGGAAAGTAGTTGCTTGAAAAAGTACTCGTAGTGGAATAGATATTACCAACTGTCCTTTTTGGGCAGTATTTTGAAATGAGAATATACATGAGTCATAGAATTTAGATGAATTATTTTGTTTTTAAGCTGCTAAATGAAAAGGAGATGTATTTTGTTCTTTATTAATCATTTTGTACCTCCATCTTGCAGGGAAGGATATGAGGATTTCTTTGATAAGCTCAAACAATACAACATACCTGTGTTCATATTTTCGGCTGGTATTGGTGATGTACTAGAGGAAGTTCTCCGTCAAGCTGGGGTTTATCATCCAAATATCAAAGTAGTGTCCAACTTCATGGATTTTGATGAAAATGTAAGAACAGTAAATCATTCTCAGATTTACTTTAAAAATCTGAAAATATTTTAATCATGAAAATTTATTATAATTTGATATATATTCATTAAATTAGACCCAAGTTAATAGGCCCGGTATAGGACTCATGATCTTTTCCAGTGTCATATTTTAGAAATAATATACCCTTCGTAAATTTTTGCTCACAAGTTTTAAACTAATATTAAAATTTGCAAAACTTCTCTTATTTGAATACAGCAACTCTGAAGACTCTTTAGCATTCACAGGTGGAAAATAAGAAGGGAATTTAAGATTGAATGAATTTTCCCAAGCAAGACAGTATGTTGTAAAATACTTAAAAATGAAAAGAAGTTGAATTTTCAACTCATTTAAAATGGTCACTAGAAGATACTTCTTAGGCCCTTCCAACCTGTCATGATTGGCATGTACTCAAGTGCTGTGAGTCTTCTAGTGTCAGAGATAAACTTTAAAATATGATGAAATAATGTGACATCTATTAAAAGCTACAAAATGTGAAAACCTAGCAAATAGAATTCGTAAAACCAATTTTTTTCCAAAACATTTCTGTGTTTAATAGGGTATCCTCAAAGGATTTAAAGGAGAACTAATTCATGTATTTAACAAACATGATGGTGCCTTGAAGAATACAGACTATTTCATTCAACTCAAAGACAACAGCAACATAATTCTGCTGGGAGACTCCGAAGGAGATTTAAAAATGGCAGATGGGGTAGCCAATGTTGAACACATTCTTAAGATTGGTTATCTAAATGATAAAGTAAGTATTCAGGTCTTTTACTTTTCTTTCAAGAAAAAGTTGGGATGAAACTTTATAGCTATTTGTTGCCAAAGGCTCTTGAGATTTTATGCCTTTTTCTTTGGGAATGATTAAAGAAGTTGATAAGCACAGAAACATGCAGTGTGTAAGGTGGGGAATTAGAGGCCATACATTCTATGAAGGGCTCTACCCTCAGCCATGGAAGCTATATGTTCCAAAAATGGTATTAGATGCTGGGTGGCACTGCCTGGTCATGAAAATCAAAAATGTCTCCAAACATTGCCAGAAATTCTTTGAACAGAATCACCCCAGTTGAGAATGACTATTCTGGAGATAACTTTTTTGGGGGGAGAACTACCATATGGAAAAGCTCCTTTCTTAAAACATTTCAGTCCGTTTTCTTTTGGGGGGTGGGTACTGGGAATTGAACTCGGGGGCACTCAACCACTGAGTTATATCCCCAGCCCTGTTTTGTATTTTATTTAGAGACAGGATCTCAGTGAATTGCTTATCACCTCGCTTTTGCTGAGGCTGGCTTTGAACTTGTGATCCTCCTACCTCAGTCTCCCAAGCTGCTGGTTTTACAGGAATGTGCTGTATTTTCATTTCTAAAGTCTTATGAAATTGAATGGAATTCATTTCATTCTGTCTAAAAGGGCTAATATAATAATGAGATTAATATTGAAATTATTTGAAAGTCTGGGGATGTAGCTTAATGGCAAAATACTTGTCTAGCATATATAATGCCCTGGGTTCCATTCTCCAGCACCATTAAAAAAAGAAAAAAATGTGTATGTGTGTGTGTAAACATATAGTATAAAAATTATTTATTGGCTGCTTCTCCCAGAATGTTGATTTTATTTTTGTTCTTCTGTTGATTAGGTAGATGAACTTTTAGAAAAATACATGGACTCTTATGATATTGTTTTGGTAAAAGAAGAATCACTGGAGGTCGCCAACTCTATTTTACAGAAGATTCTATAAACAAGCATTTTTCAAGAAAATGTCTCCCATGGGTGCAAATGATACAAGATTTACTCATCTGTCCATCTAGCTGAAAGACTCTTTATTTATAAATATATTCTTGTTCTTGAAGTTTTCTCTTTACATAACTGAAATATTTTCAGACATGTTGAGTCCATCTCCTGGAAGCTCCTTTCCTCTTTCAATACACTCCTCATCATATTTTTTTAACCCCTAAAAAAAATGTTGAAGCCAAAATTAGAAAAACTACCCCCTACTTTTTCAAAGTGAATTTTGTAGCTTAATGTTATCATGCAGTTTTTGAAGAGTCTTTTTACACCAGGAATGTTTATAGATGTTTTTAAAAAGTTTTACGAAATGGTGAAATAATGTGCATGATTTTAAGTATTGCCATTTATATAATTTGGGTGGATTATGCTAATGGTATCACCATCTCCTGAAATTGTTATATTTTGTGTGAGAAAACCAATATTTACCAAAAAAGAGTAGCACTTAATATTTGAAAAGACTGTTGGTGGCCATGTGTCACTAATCATCAACAAAATATTCAAATGAAGCACTGATAATAAATATGAAATGAAAAGCCTTTTTAATTCTACTGACAAGACTGTTTTTATTAATTTATTCAGCAAATATTTATTGAATACCTGTCTTGTTTTTTCCTTTCTTATCTTTCATTTTGTAATATGTGAATCCTAATGCTTTTGTCATAGTGGCTGTTTAGATTGGATATTTTCAATGAGGCCTGCATAAATTATTTTCTCTTATCGAATTCATCAAGAAAAGGCAGTACTTTAAGGCTTTCAGTAACAACTATAGTGTAGCTGGGTCTCAAAGTATAGCTAAAACTGAGTACTGCAAAGTTAGGACCCACCATTTCTCTATAGCCTGGCTTCCTGTTCTAAATCTTTAGACTTTCATAATTGCCTTTCACAGGTTTTAGACTTGACATTGTGATACATTTGATCCAGACTTTTTTGGTGGGGGAGTGTACAACAGATTGAACTCAGCAGTGCTTTACCACTAAGCCACATCCTTAGTCCTTTTTATTTTTATTTATTTTTAAAATTTTTTCTTAGTTATGGGTTGGGGATATAGCTCAGTTGGTAGAGGCTTACCTTGTATGCATAAGGCCCTGAGTTCAATCCCTAGCACCACCAAAAAAAAAAAAATTGAAAAGGGCTGGTGTTGTGGCTCAGGGGTAGAATGCTCACCTAGCATGTGTGAGGCCCTGGGTTCAATCCTCAGCACCACATAAAAATAAATAAATGAATAAATGAATGAATAAGTGTTTAGCAAAAATTCATAGTTGTTGATGGGCCTTTATTTCATTTATTTACTTATATGCTATGCTGAGAATCAAACCCATTGCCTCACGCATGCTAGGCAAGTGCTCTACCACTGAGCCACAACCCCAGCCCACCCTTTTTATTTTTTATTTTGAAAAGGGTCTCATAAGTTGCTTAAGCCTTGCTGAATTACTGAGGCTGGCCCGAACTTTTGATCCTCCTGCCTTGGCCTCCCAAGTTGCTGGGATTACAAGCATATGCCACCATACCCAGTGAAAGGTTTATTTTGGTTCAGTTTTAGAGGCTGAATTAAGTACCAGTTGGCCCTACAGGACATCGTGGTGGGAGCATGTAACAGCAAAACCATTCACTTTATAGCTAGGAAGGAAAAGAAGACCAAGACCAAACCAAAAAAATCCTATAAACATCTTCAAGGGCATGCCCCCAATGACCTGAAGACCTCTCATTAGTCCCCACATCTTAAAATTTCCTTCACCTCTCAATAGAGACTAAAACCTTCAACCTGGACCTTTGGGGGACACTTAAGATCCAAACTAAGATGGGCACAGTAGTTAATGCCTCTAAGGTCAGCCTGGGCAATTTAATAAGCCTTGACTCAAAAATAGCAAGGGCTGGGGATGTAGCTCAGTGTCAGTACCACCCCAAAACTGTGTGTGTGTGGGGGGGGGGGTGTCACATGGAGTTTCCATTCTGTGTGACCCTTTAGCACTTGTAGCCTTTCTGGAAGAGCTATAACTCTAATCCATTCGCAAACATAGGCAAGTGTTGCCACAGCACCATGAAGGGGCCAGCTAGGCAGCTTGCCCTCTCGGGCAATAGTGGCTGAGATGGCCACAGGCAATTCAACGCCCTCTTTAGCCTCAGGAATAATGGAAGTTAGCAGGCAGCACTCATCTGATCAAGCCCAGACTGACTGCCCCCTCTGCCTCAAGTTGGAAGGCCCTGATTCAATCAATCTGTCTCCAGAACAGATTGTGAGCACAGTGTACAGAAAGCTGGGCACAGTGGCACATCCCCACTACTGAGGGAGGATAGCAAAGTAGGGGCCAGCATGGGCAATTTTGGAGACCCTCTCAAAATATAAAAAGAACTGGGGAGCCAGGCATGGTGGCACACTCCTGTAATCCCAGCGGCTTGAGAAGCTGAGGTTGGATGATCAACAAGAGTTCAAAGGCAGCCTCAGCAAAAGCAAGGCACTAAGCGACTCAGTGAGACCTGTCTAAATAAAATACAAAATAGGGCTGGGAATGTGGCTCAGTGGTCAAGTGGTCCAGTACCGAAGAAAATTTTTTTAAAAAGGACTGGGGATGCAGCCCGGTGGTAGGTTACTTCTGGGTTCGATCCCCAGTACAAAAAAAAAAAAAAAAATTCTTGCTTCTTGCTAAACTGAATTGCTCTCTGGAATGCATTTGATCTACCCTTCATTATCCTTACAGGTCTGCATTAAATTAAAACAAAACCTAACACTTATTCTCTACCTCCCCCACCCCCAGTACTGGGAACCAAACCCACAGCCTCGTGCATACTAGGCAAGCACTCTGCCACTGAGCTATGCCCCTGATACCCTCCCTCTTTCCTTTTTTTAAAATTTTACTTTTCAAGTTTCTTAAAATTTGCCCTCAAACTTGTGATTCTCCTGCCTCAGCCTCACATGTATCTGGGATTATAGGCTGCTCCACTGACTGCTTTTGGCAAGAAGCAAGATTATTAACCTATCTAATGAATTTTAAGGAATACTGTTAAATGAAAAGGTGAGCAACTGTGACTAGGTGAAAGAGGACTTAGGAACACTAGTGCCCAAAGCCGCTGCAGCCAGGAAGGCCATGGCAACTTCCCAGAAATTACTTCTGCAAAGAGTAAACAGTAACATTTCCTTTTTAAAAACAGTATTTATTCCATTGAACAAGTGCATAGCATTTTCATGAACTATCTCAGGACTACATCAGTACAAAACAGTTTAAATTAGTAAAATAAAGCAGTTTCAAAAGGAAAATCATCGATTACTTCAGGGTAAGTGCCAATACCAACCTGGGAGAGAGGATATTAGGCAGCAATGTAGTTAGGTTACTGCATGATGCGGGGAAAAGGTTGGCAGGTACATTGTCAATGCTTTCCTATGGCAGAAGCATAGGACTACCCTCTCCAGGACACAAATGAGCAGCAGAAAAATGTCACCTTATTTATGCTTATCTGCCGGGATGACACTTGAACCTCAGCCACAGTGAAATTGGGGTGACTGGCCAGTGAGGCCCGGCCACTAGCCCTATGTGCATCTATCTAAGCAACAGCGCTGGAGGTGGGGGAGTGCTTTACTGGATATCAAGAGCTGGCCACCAGGTAATCCTACACAGCAAATGCAGAACCAAATTCTCTGCATGCTCTGAGACAACCTTCATTTGGTCCTCTGCTTTTTATTTTTGTCCTGGAGGCTTGTTTTTTTTTTTTTTTTTTTTTAACCTAAAAGTTACCTACTAGTTGGAGGACCAATGCAGGTAGAAGGTGATGAACTGAAAAAACAATTGGGGGATTTTTTGGAGGGAAAGGCAGACCTCTGAGAACAGCCCCGGGTTGCTGTCTGCGAGTCCTGCTGGGGCATGATGTCCTTTGTCTCTCCTGCCCATGTACAAAATATTTTTAAGACACCAGCAAGTTAAAAAAAATTTTTTTAATCTCTTTAGGTAGACACCTGAACACCACTTCTCCTATTCCCTCCAAGGTGTTTATAACTTCTACATATTATTTGCCTTTAATTACAAAATTTCCTAGAAGGCTCACAAATCACAGTTGGCAGTACAGCCCTTCCAATGCTTCGATACATATCATGCCAAGGCCTTCTATACCCCTTATGTCTTCCCTCACTGAAAGTCCACCCCAAATTCTCACGTGTGTATCAACCCACCCCGATGTGTGTACCAGGTACTGTGTCACCCACCTACTACTTGCTAATGATAGACCTTCCTAGAGACCCTCACACCCTCACCACAGGTTCTGCCACAACAGGTGGCTTGGTGTCACACACTCCCTGGCACCAGCTGGCTCATGTCAGGTTTAGAGTTCGTCGTGTTTAGTCTCCTGGTCTTTAAGTTTAAACTCCTCAGCCACGACCTTCCCATCTCCATTCCGGTCCTGATTGGTGAACATATTCTTCACAATCATTTCAGCATCAAAACCAGGAGCGAGCTTCCCTTTGCCAGTTGCCACCTGGGCATGAATGTATTCTGAGAACTGAAGAGAAAGGGACAGGATGACATGAGATAAGGGAGCCAAGAATGCAGAGTCTGAAATACAGCACCTGAGGGTGGTGGGGCTGGGACTGGGGTCTGAACTTGGAAACTGATGAGAGCTTCTGGGGGACTAAATGATCAGGTTTTGTTTTTCTCCTGGTGCAGGTGAAAACCCCTGGGCTAAATGACTACAAGAGCCCCTTGGGTCCAGATAGCCAACATAAAGCAGTCACCAGGGCAGTCCTTCTCCCCACTTAAAGTGGCCCACTTGAAGCTGTCTCCCAACCCTGTAAGAACACTGCTGTATGCACACATACCATGCATGCATTCACACAGTAATAACTTACTGAGCATCTACCATGTACTAAGCATTGTACTAGACCCTTGGGCTACATCAACACACAAATCAACAAACATCTTGCCTTTGTTATGCTTGTTTTCCAGTGGGGGGGGACTGATAATTAATCATGAACATAATCAGTAAATTACACATTAAGTTACAAAGTGGAAAGATCCAGAAAAAAAAAAAAAAGTGAAATCTAGCCAAGGATGGGAAGGGAGAGTGGGTTAAAGTATTCAGTCTGGTAGTCAGGGTAAAACCTCAGTCTTCAGGGAAGATTTGGACAAAGGCTTGAAGGAAGTGAGAGAATGAACCGAACTATTATCTATCTGCATCTTCTGAGCAGAGGACGGTGTGGGCAAAGCCCCAGGTGTATTCACAGGAGGCATGAGGCTGGGCCAAGTGAACAGAGGGAGGGGAGTGGCAGGGAGGTGCCAGTGAGCAGATGAGGGCCTCCAAGGCCTTGGAGATGGGGGCTCTGTAGGTTCTGAGAAGCAGCAGCCATGACTACAGTGTTCTTGGGAGTGGCCACTCCCAAGAGGCTGCTGTAGGGGTGAGAGCAGGAGCATCGTTAAGAGGCTGTTGCCATGATCCTGGGAGGGTAGATTATGGTTCAGGCTAAGATGCTATGAAAGGGAAGTGGTGAGAGAGTCGGTCTCTGTATGTCCTCAAGGCAGAGCTAGCAGCATTTTCTGGTGGATTCTTCGTGGCCTGTGATCAAAAG